AAAAAAATGTATGAATTTTGTGTTAATTGTGATTGATATAAAAAAAGGTCAGATAATGCTATGCATTGCATAGTATGCAATGTCAAAAATGATTTTAAGAATGGTTGCAAATAGATTTGGATGAATCAGGGAATAGTTTCCAGATGAAAGCGTGTTTCATTTCTTGAAGTCATGTCATAATTTTCGTTGTTGTTCGATTGTCAATTGTTTTGAACGAAATTCAATAGCTCTTGCTCTGACAAAACGGCACGTCCATTGGCACTTGGTGTTCGTTGTACAAGTAATCCATGTTCGGTCAATTCGAATGCATGCAAACGATGTTGTTCTTTCAAATCCATTGCAGTATACCACATTTTCGAGTAGAAAGTGGTCATATGTTCACATACACGAATTTTCCATGTCTTTTTTCCTCTGGCCACTTTAATTAACTCGTTTGACCAAACGAATTTGTCTCGTGTTTGATTCATGATCGCTTTCTTCACCTCCAAACGATGCAGTTTCACTGTTATTCCTTTTGCACACTGATCAATTCTTTTGATATCAGTACGGCATATGGTCACACCCATCTTCTTGCATAGCTTCAGAAAAATTTCTTGTTGATCTGCACCGCGGAAATTACCACAGATCCCTTGAACGTATACGTTTTTGGTCAGTTTTTGCTGATCAACCAGTTCCTTAATCAATGACGATTCACTTTTTGGATTTGCTTCCTTTCGAAATCCTTGCATACCAAATCCTGGTATATTCGACCGTTCGCTGGTACCATTTCCAAACTGATTTGCATTCAATTCGAGGTGATTGGTTGTTGGTTCGTTCTGTGTCTTGTGCAATAGACCTTCGACCAATGCTTTGAGTTGGTGGATTTCCGCGTTCACCATAGTTGGAGCGGTTTCCATTGGTGGAGCTGTTCCGATTGTCGGAGATGAGCGAAGATTCGGGATTTCCTTCAAATTTGCACCACTTTGAGCGCCATTACAATTTGTGCCATTCGGAACTCGGTTCCAATTTTCGGTGCCCGGATACCCATTCAACTTGGCGCCTTTTCCATACGTGTCGATCATTTGCTTTGCCCGTTCTTTTTTCACGTCCAAATACCCTTGAATGAACGTATCCAACAAGTTGCTGTCATCGTACTTCGTTTCAAGTGCATTGTATGCTTTGAGTACCAATCCATTCGCATACACCATATGTGTACCGAGAAGTTTTTTCTTCATCCAAACTGGGAAGATCGAGCAATGGTAGCTCAAGGAGTCGATGTCGTGGACGATTTTCTCGTGGAATGCAATATCCGATAGATCACCTGATTGATACGGGCACACAGTGCAACGGAAATTAAAGGTGTGCTCGGGAAGATGGTTCAAATATCGGTTGCCATTGACCTTTTTATGGCAATAGCCACAAATCAAGTGATTTGGTGTGGTGCGGTTATCAATGAATTCTTTTGATTCAACTGCATGACCGTTGTGAGCCATTCTGAAATGGTCGCCAATTTCATCTTGTGTCTCGAATACTGCGCCGCATTTGCTGCATTGTTGTTTCTTTGACACGTTGATGGTCAAGAGCTCGGCAATTCTTTCTTCTGAATAGTAGATCGGGTTGAAGAGCTTCGGCGTCGAGTTTGGTTCATGCGTCAACTTGAAATGCTCGATCAAGTCACCATCTTTGAAGTGACACATTCCACACTTCTTTGCGTCCATTCGATCCGCAATCACAAACAATTTATTTGGGTGCCTTTCCTGGTGATGCTTCACCAAATCGTGGTATGTACCGACCTCTTTGCAATAAAAGCAACTAAGCAAAGCAACGGCGTAGAATTGGAATGGTTTGCAAATCGATTCATCCAAATGCTCTCTCAACCAATGACCAGACACATCATCGAATGTTCCGTTGAACGACTTGGTCGGCTCTTTATCTTTCAAGCAATGAACACAATAGAATGTTGCGTATTTAATCTGTTGGCTCTGATCCGTATCACCTATGAAAAATTAATATTGAAAGTTTTAATGAATTTAGTCATGAATGAAGCCAGTATTGAATAAATTACAAACAGTCAATGTCTCACCACTTTCATCGTCATTCACAGATGTTTCCATTGTTTTTTGCCTTTTCAACAGCTCACTTTCGACGTTCATCGTATCATCCGTCTTACGTTTCACTGCGTTGTCGCCTTTATCCACCGAAACACCGGTTTCTTCTGTTCCCAAGAGTGGAATCGTTATGTTTTCCACACCCAAATTTGGTGCCATTGTGGCTGACACAGTGCATGACATTTTATATTTTGCCTCTGTGCCATATCGTTCGCATGTTTGTGTCAAGCTATGTAATTTTGTCAGATGAATGGGATATGAATTTTGGAAATGAATGTCATCAAAATTCTAAGTTTTTTTTTAAGACAACGATAAAATTGAATGAAATTTACCGATCAACAGACAGCTTTAAGAAATAGTTCAGAAATCTCTTATCCACTTTCAAACCATGTCTTTCAAGGCGTTCCAATGCAGTCTTGGTATCACGCTGAATTGTCATCAAATGTTCGTCTATTTGAGTTTCCACCAAATTTTGCTCCATTTTACACTGAAACGAGTTAGTTAATTTTAATGGTTTGTGACGTAACCGATAAAATTTGTAGCTCGACCACTTTTTATACACTCAATTTTTGGTCACCATTTGGATGTGATCAAATTAGAATCAATCTTTAACTCAAGGTCACCAACACAAGATGAACCAAAGCAATAAAATCAATCTATGCAACAAATTGTAGATTGGAATATTCTCAATTCCAAAATTTGTTGAGTCCTAAAAAGCAAATTAGAATTCAAACTAGGGTACAATACTTACTTTCAATGGTTTTGTGTTGGAAAAAAGCCGAATTCAATTCTTATCACAACTTAAATCAATATTCACGTTTTTTCAAATGAAATTAAACTCAATTGTGTGGTTATGTGGCAGCGTTTGATGTTCTAGAAAAATCGCTAAGTCTTACTTGGTTCGATATAAATACACATATGCATATGCATACGTATTTAATAAAGGAACCTCAGTTGTGCGCAATCTGTGTATGATTATGTTGATTCAAAGACACAGAAACGTCAATGTTAGAGTCGTACACATTTGGATACTGCCAGTAGTACCACAACACGAGACTAATTCATGTATGATATTCGACACAGCGGATTTGGGGAGAGCACTACTCTCAGAGCAGGGTTGACAAATGGCAGATTGCATTTCCTTTGCTATTCAAATAGTTTTGGGCAATGTTCAATGAAACGGAATTTTTTCTGTTTAAATATTTTATTGAAAATTGAATCGAAATATATTTTTTGTATTTTATGTTCATATGATGGGTAAATAAAGTCGATATTCTGCATGAAAGAATATTTATGCGATCAAAATAAAATGTTGGTTGTGATTGATACAAAAAAAAGTTAGACAATGTCTTCAGTAGACAAGGTCCCTAAAAATAATTTGAAAGAAGATTGCAAATAGCTTTCAGATGGACGTGAAACTGCTTTTTTCATGACACGGCCTAATTTTCGTTATTGTTCGTCGATCAATTATTTTGAATGTATTCCAGAAGCTGTTGCTCTGACAAAACGGTACGTCCATTGTCAATTGATGTTCGTTGCACAAGTAATCCATGTTCGGTCAATTTGAATGAATGCAAACAATGTTCTTCCTTCAATTTTAGTGCAGAAAACCACATTTTGAGGTAAAAGGGGGTCATGTCATCACATACACGAACTTTCCATGGTCTTTGGTCATTAGCCAATTTGAACAATTCGTTCGACCAAATCAATTTGTCACGCGTGTGGTCAATAATCAATTGTTTAATGTCTACGTGATGCAGGTTCACGATCATCCCCTTCTCGTATTGAACAATTGACTTGATAGTAGTACGAGATATCTTCACTCCCATCAACTTACATATTTTTTGAAAGATTTCATGTCGATCGCTGATGTCCATATCGCGCCAAATTCCTTGTACATATACGTTCTTCGCCAATTTTTGCTGATTAATCAGCTCATCGTTTAGCGACTGTCGCTTTTTTGAATTTTGTTTGGTCCGAAGAGCTGGAATCTTCAACTGATCATTTGTAACCAATTTATGGACTCGGTTGGCTGCTTCAGCTACAGAGGATGATCGAATCGGAATCTCTTTTGAATTTGCAATCTTATTCCAATTTTCTACACTCGTTGACCCATTTGCCTTGGCTTGTTCTCCATACGTGTCGATTAATTTCTTAGCTCGTTCTTTTTCCATATTCAAAAACCCTTGAATGAACGAATCCAACAAATTGCTGTCATGGAACTTAGTTCCCAGCAAATTGACCATTTTTAAGGTCAAACCATTCGGGAACACCATATTTGTGCCGAGAAGTTCACTCTTCATCCAACTCGGGAATCGTTCACAGTGGTAGTTCAAGGAGTCGACATTGTGAGCGGTTTTGCCATGGAGTGCTACTTCAGAGAGTTTCTCTGATTGATACGAGCACACTGTGCAGCGGAAAATGAATATGTGCTCCGAAAGATGGTCGATATATCGAGTGGAATCAACCTTTTTGTGGCAATAACCACAAATCATGTGATCTGGAGTGGTACGGTTGTCATCGATTTCTTTTGATTCAACTGCTAGGCCATTGTGTGGCGCTTTGAAATGGTCACCAATTCCATCTTGTGTCTCGAATACTGCGTCGCATTTGCTGCATTGATGTTTCTTCGACACGTTGATGCTCAAGAGCTCAACAATTCTTTCTTTCGAATAGCAGATTGGGTTGAACAGCTTTGGTGTTGAGTTCAGATCATGCTTCAACTTAAAATGCTTGACCAAGTCACCATCTTTGAAGTGACACATTCCACACTTCTTTGCGTCCATTCCATCTGTGATGACGAACAGGGCATCGGCGTGCTTTTCTTGGTGATGCTTCACCAAATCATTGTATGTACCGATCTCTTTGCAATGAAAACAACTGGCCAAAGTAACAGCGTAGAATTGGAATGGTTTGCGAACCGATTCAATCAAATGCTCTCTCAACCAATGACCAGACACATCATCGAATGTTCCGCTAAACGACTTTGTCGGCTCTTTTTCATTCAAGCAATGAACACAGAAGAATATTATGTATTTAAGATATTGGCTCTGGCCAACGACTCCTGTAAAAAAAAACAGTTTGGAAAAAGTTAGTTCTTGAATTAAGTCATTAAAAAAAAAAAGATAACAAACAGTCAATGCCTCACGACTTTTATCTTCTTTCACAGATGTTTCCATTGTTTTTTGCCTTTTCAACAGTCCAATTTTGTCATTCATCGTGACCTCTGCCCGACGTTTTACTGAGCTGTCGCCATTTCCAATCGAATCACTGCCTTCTTCTGTTCCCAAAAATGAAACCGTTGTATTTTTTGCAGTTTCTAATGTGGGAATTGTTGGGGTTGTTATGGTCCATGACTTTTTGAATTTTACCTTTTCACCATATCGTTGGCATGTGTGTGTCAAGCTACTCAGTTTCCAGATAAATGAAATGTGAATTTTGGAAATGGAATAAGAACAATTTTCGTTGAACACCTTAAATAAAATTGCATGTTCAAACAATAAAATTGAATGCAATTTACCGTTCAATCGAGAGATTTTTGAAATAAGTTAAAAATTCCTCATCCACTTTCAAGCCAGATCTTTCGAGATGACCCAATGCAGCCTCGGTATTGCGCTGAATCATCATCAAATGCTCATCTATTTGAGTCTTTATCATATTTGGCTCCATTTTGTCTGAAATGAGTCGCAATTTTAATGATTTGTGACGAAGTCAAATAAAATGTGTGATTTGACCATTTTTTTAAAATCTCTAATTCGCACTAAATGTTGCTAAGTTTTCTACTCTTGATTTTGTATTGCAGAATTTCTGCAATTGTGGCATGCCATAAATTTTAGTTTGAAAAACTTGCAATTATGAAGGCTTATGCCTTCGATACCAATAACAATTAAGTTAAGAGTCTGAACAAGTAGATTAGACATTCTAATTAAGATTTTGAGCTAGTTTATGAAACCTACCTTCCAATGATTTAGTGTTGGAAAATAAGAGCGATTCAATTTTTATCAGAGCCCCAAAGAATTTCCACTTCTGGGCTACGTTTTGTTATTGATGGAATTAACCTGAATTGTGTAATTATGTGACAGCGTTTGATGTTCTGAAAAAATCGCAACAATTTGCTTGATTCGATATAAATAGATATATGCATATATGCATACGTATGCAATTAAGGAGCTCTTGTTGTGCGCAATCTGTGTATGTTTAAATGTTGATTCAAAGACACGCAAACGTCAATGTTGGAGTCATAGAGATTTGGATGCTTCCAGTAGTACCACAACACGGAATTCATTTGTATGTGATATTCGACACAGCGGATTTAGGGCGATCAGGGTTGTCAGATTGCATTTTCTTTGTTATTCAAATTGTTTTGGCCAAGGTTCAATAAAATCGAAATTTTTCTGTTTAAATATTTTATTGAAAATTGAATCGAAATATATTTTTTGTATTTTATGTTCATATGATGGGAAAATAAAGTAGATATTCTGCACGAAAGAATATTTATGTGATCAAAATAAAATATTGGTTGTGATTGATACAAGAAAAATTAGAGAATGTCTTTAGTACGCTGAGTCCCTGGAAATCAGTTAATTTAAATGGATTTCAAGGAAGATTACAAATAGCTTCTAGATGGACGAGAAACTGCTTGTTTTGATGATGCTCGTTGTTCTTCGATCAATTATTCTGAATGTACTCCAGAAGCTGTTGCTCTGACAAAACGGTGCATCCACTGTCACTTGGTGTTCGTTGCAAAAATAATCCAT